AAAAGTCGTTCATTCAAAAAGTTACTTTAGTAAAAGTAAAGGAGTATTAGAATAAAAGTATACTTAAACAGTGGTGGAAGAAGTACTTTTACTTTACTAAAAGTAGCAATGTAACAGTGTAGAAATACTCCTGTTAAGACAGAAATATATTTTATAAAGACCGTGCGCACGTAACGAGCGTAAATTGACACGTTGTCGCTAGACTTTCGTACGAAAACGCACCAAAAATGAAGAGAAACTTTTTGTATATCATACGAACCGCTGTATGATACGTTGACCGGGTTGCTTAATCTGAAATAAAACATCATAATCAATTATTATAATATTTAATATTGTCGATCTGAATCTGCAAACTTACACAACTGTTAAATAAATGTAATGTTAGTAAAAAAAGAACGATATCTCTCAAAGTAGCATAAATTAAGTAAAGGACAAGTACATATTGTGAGCAGCTCTGTCTAAATGTGGCTTATTGTGGTTATGGCTTTATGGTGCTCTGTTTTTTTTAGTTTTTTTTTAGAAACATCAGTGTAGCGTTGACATCTGTGTCCTCTTTATTTTTGGACCACTTAAAAAGGAAAAGAAATCCCTCATAGTCGGATGATGGATGAAGTGATAAAGCTGGAGAGAAGACAAAATGAAAGCAGAGGAGTTTATTTCTGGGCGGCAGACGTCTGCTCTCCGTAACTCACAGACAACGCAGACAAAGCATCAGCGCAGATGTTTGCAATTTGTGACTTAATGATTTTAATGTTAAGAAACAATTTCGCTGTCTCTGAGATTCCTCCCTTTCTGTGCACGGGGTTTAGGCTGATTGAGAGGTTAAAGGCGTGTCATGTGATGAAGGAGCAGCTCCACAGTCTGTCATCATTAATCACTGCAGCTGTCACGCTGCACCCAGGACTCACTCAGACCAACCGACCCGGCCCTCACCTCTAACTACAATACTCAGAGTCTTTTTAATATATAACGCATGAATGAGTGACGACTAAAGATACTATCTACTAGCAGAGGTTAGCTGCTTTGAGCTAAATGCTAACAACGGCAGCGCTAACATGCAGATGTCTAGCCGGAATAATGTTGACCGTGTTAGGTTAGCGTGTTAGCATGCTGACATTTGCTAGTTAAACACAAAGTGCAGCTTAGGTTGATGGGAATGTCGTTAGTTTTGCAGGTATTTGTTCAGAAACCAAAGTGTTGGACGAATTAAAATGTTCTTTTTTAATCTTTAATCTCGTAAATCCTGAGTTCTTTCTCAGAACATCCCCCCCTTCCCCGGCTCCATAATTTATTTTCTTCTTTTATACCTACAACGGCCTCAATACGCCATCGTACTGCTGAGGGTGGCACGAATGTCTGAAGCGAATTTCACGGCAATCCATCCAATAAATTGTTGAGACGTTTCACTTTGGAAAACAAATGTCAACCTCATGGTGGAGCTGGAGGAAATGTCAGGGGATCACCAAAAGTCGTGAGGATTAATCTTCTGGGGAACATGAACGTCTGCACCAGATTCCACGGCAATCCATCCCATCGTTTTTTGAGATATTATCTGGACCAAAGTGTTGGAGCCATTGTGCTGTAGCGAGGCTAAAAATAAAAAGTTGCATTCACTGACTCAAGCGAAAAGTTAAAAAAAACCTGCACGGGAAGCGCTGCGGTTGGTCAAGAGGAGGTGGTGTCTGACAGAAATGAGTGACAGAAACGGAGAGGGAGTTGGACAGATGAGAGCCACAGGCGCTGGGAGTGTGTGTGTGTGTGTGTGTGTGTGTGGGGGGTGGGGGGTGGGGGGTTCAGCGAGGGTCAACACATCGCCTGTGCATTGAGTGTGGCCCAGCAGCTGTATGCATAGGGGAGCCTTGGCCTCCTGCTCTGCATGTCAGGGGCCGTGATTAATGACCTGCTGGCCTTGCTCTTTACCCCCCCTCCTCTTCCTCCCCCTCCTCCTCCTCCTCCTCCTCCCTACAGAAGCCACTGCTCATTTAGCTAATGGACACAGCCATGCAGGGGTTACATACGAGTGCACCTACATGTGAAATAAAAGCAATTTCCTTCTGACAAAACATCACTTTTTTCCATCTTTCTTTCTTTCCAGGCTCTATATGTAATTTCAGTTGCGGTGATTTTTGTAAGATTACAGTGTGCCTGTGCGGTGTCTTGACAGGCTGAGAGGGTGCCCGTGCCTGTGTACTGGTTCCCAGCTTGTCAGGCGGCTGTCGAGGAGTGATTTATGACCACTAGACTCCAACCTGTCTTCACTGCCAGTTCAGTATTGTTACAACTGACAGCTAATGAGGCCAGACATGCTTTCAAGCAGAGCACTTAACAGGACTTCAATCTTCCCCCGTCACGACTACCAATTTTTCTTCTTTTTCTCTGTGTGTGCACTCTCCCTCCGCACAGCAGCCTGCTTTCTCTGTGTCGGCCTTGTTCTCTGTCTTTCTCTGCCGGAATACCTGACAGGCTTTCTGAAAAAGTGGCCTCTGCCCGCAGAACGAGATGTTTTGTCGGAAGAAGGAAAAGGCAGCAGAAAGAGTCCCATCTTTCACATTTAATCTAATAATCACAACCCTTTCATATCTTTTTTTAAAGCAGCCTTTAGAGGAATAGTTTTGGAAATATTTGCTTTTCTTGCAGAGAGTTGAGAAGAGCGATACAACAACTGAATGTGAAGCTATACAATCACGAGAGGGTTAGCTTAGCTTAGCATGAAGACTGGAAGCAGGGGCAAACAGCTAGCCTGGCACCAGTATTTCAAATGGATGCTACTTTTTGTTTTTTAATTCATTACATTTATAAGAATATAGTCCACTTTTTACTCCACTACATTTATTTGACACCGATAGTGTTTTTACAGATTCAAATGTTTGGCAGCATCTTTATTATCTCGGTATGTCATTCGCTATAGTTTCCTAGAAATGTTCTTGTAAAGAACTGTGTAATTTGGAATTAAATATCGGGAAATTAGTAATTTCTTTGAAATAAAAGCTTAATTCAAACCCAAGTAATTGTTTTTTTAAATTATTTTTACTGACAAAAAGACATTTCAATTTAACACTTTATTTTTTCGTAAACAATTAGCACCAAATTACATATATCTTTCCAGGAAATAGTTTAGAAATAACATGGAAAATGTGGGACCTGTAAAATAAATAAATAACAGCATTACCGTCTTACAAAATATGAACCATTGTTACAGATTATAATGCCTGATTGTATATTAAGGAGTTAATGCTGTAAAAATAATGATAATCCCATAATTTATTATACAATAGTATAAATCTGTCTGTACTTTTGATATGTTGTACTTTTCTACTTTTACTCTAATAACATTTTGAATGCATGACTTTTAAATTGTGGTATTGCTGCTTTGTTCAAAAGTAAAGCTCTTCTTCCACCACTGTTGTTCATGATTAAAGTAACATGTTAATTAGAGGTGCTGGTACGTGGATTTTGTTTTTACCTTTGGACAGAGCCAGGCTAGCTCTTTCCCCCTGTTTCCAGTCTTTATGCTAAGCTAACCTTCTGGGAATGGCAGAACGTCTGTTTCCCTTTATGGTGCATTTAAACTTTTATTTTGAAGTTCACTGCGATCAGCTGGACATTAATATTTTATTGAAACAGTAACGACTGTTTTGACTGTAATTATAATCTGTGAATTGCAGTAATTATGATTTTTTTTAATTGTTTATGTCACTTTACATCAACTCTGGTCACATGTCTTTGTAGATGTGAGCCGGTAAACAAACTCTCCATGTCTCTCAGCACAAGCAGGCAGTTTATAACCGAGTCTTCTGACCCCGTGTGTTCCTTGTCAGCCATGATTAATGGGTAGACTGACTAGCTGCTAGGTAACTAGCTGCTAGCTTGCATTGCCGGCTGTGCCATTGTTTCCTGGATACTTAATGAAGTCTTTTCCTCCCCAAAAAACTGATGTTTTCATTAAATGCTGCAACAGCGACACCTGCAGGTTTCACGACATCTGAATAACTATATGGGTGTACATGTTTTAGACATTTGGCCTATTTTACAATCAAGCTTCCGTCATTTTGGCTGTATAATCATTTAGCTTTATGCTCAACATCTGCTGTAGATGTTGCACAAAAAACAATTTGTGCAATAAAGAAATTAACCCTTTTAACGAGCCCAGATGGGCCCAAACCAGATACCAGATAATATTCAACTATACATTTTATTTTATGTTCTTATTCTGTTTTTTTTTAAATAGAAAAACTTAATCGGAAAAGTCGCTATGGCTGTTAGATAAATATAGGAGTAAAAACAAACAATATTTCCCTCTCAGATGTAGAAAGAAGTAAAGTACAAGTACCTCAAGACTGTACTCAAGTACAGTGGTGAAAGAAGTACTCAAGATTCTTTCCTTGAGTAAAAATAGCAATACCACTGTGTAAAAAATACTTCTAAGTAAAAGTCCTGCATTCAAATTTTTGTAAAAAACTATTAGCATCAAAGTATACTGAAAGTACCACAATTAAAAGTTTTACCCATTATGCATAATTTTAGAATAATATATATCAATTATAATTATTGATGCATTAATGTGTTCATCACTTCGATGTTGCAGCTGGTGAAGGTTTGTGTCATTTAATTACTTTGTATACTGCTGGGTAGTTTAATCTATAATAATATATCATTATTTATATTTTGTAATCTGAAAATGTAAAGGAGCAATTCATTTAGTAAAAAGTGCAATATTTCCCTCTGAGATGAAGTGGAGTAAAAGTATAAAGTAGAGTAAAATAATTAAAGTACAATACCTCTAAATAGTACCTCAGTGCAGTACTTCAGTAGATGACCACCTTTGATGGCTATTTACATTTTGGTATGTTGCTGCTTTCCACGGGGTCACGTGAGGGTAAAACCTAAAGCGTACCTGAAAAAGTACAGCTCACCTGGTGTCTGCTGCCCCCTGCTGGTAGTCTCCCTCACATACACTCTGATATAACTTTAATGTTTCGAAAGCAGTTGCAGGACAATAAGAGAGTTTGGAACCAGCGACTCAGAAGTTTGTGGGACTTTGTTTTTACGCATAAGCCCAACCTTGAATAGTTGCATTTATCTGTTTTATTACAAGATAATAATGTTTCTCTGCCATGTTTATAACACGATCCAAACTTCTTCTTCCCTCTTGTTTCCTGATGTTGTTCCTCGCGGTCCCCCCCTCTCCCATTTTCCCGGCTCCTCCTCTGCCCGGGCTTCTCTGTCCACCGAGTCGAGCTTCCCAAAAAAACAACTTTCCGTGCCAAGGCTTCCTGAAGCTTCTGTGTTGGATCCGATGGAAGTGGGAGACGCGTCGGATATGAAATAGAACACATCATGGTGCTGATGACCGAGCAGGCGGACAGACCTCCGACCCCGCTCTCCGCACCGGACCAACTTTTCCGCAGGGACTCCCGGGGGACTCGGTAAGTCTGGATAAGATGGAGAGGAAAGGGCCCGGGATGGCTTCCCAGGCCTCGTGCATTCTGGGTTTATTTGCACTCACATCCTGCTTTTCTTTTCGAATTATTAAAGGGCTCGCTTTTTTAACAGATGCACGCGACGCGTACGTGGCACGGAATAAGAGCAGATATGGTTAATTTGCATGGAAGATAATAAAACCTTTTCATGTTATCTGCTTTGGCTGTTTTAACGCAATGCTTGCAGACATCCCGCATACTTAGTTTGACAGTGTTGTGCAGATGATTGATGCACATTATAAAGAGGGAACGGTGTCCTGCGTGGTGTGCGCAGGTCTGAGGTGGACCATGGAGGGGGGAGGAGACACATGAGGCGCGGAGGGTCACCTGCAGACCTCCTGCTGTGTCTGGACTCCGAGGCAGACCCATCAGAGAGCAAGATGAAGCCAGCCGGCATGGGGTGAGGAAGGTTATTTGTTTAATTTTTGAAAGCAACATTCTTCAGCTTCAGCTTCTGTAATGCTGGATTTTCTGTTTTTATCACTTTAAATCGAATATTTTAGAGTTTTGGAATGTTTGATGGACATAATAAGATGTCACTCTGGTCTTTTGAGCGTTGATTGAGAAAATAATTGGTCATTTTTAAAAAAAATTTTTATGTATTTAATCTTTTATTTAAACGGGTTGTCTTATGCATGTGTACAAGAATGAAAACGTTACACATTAGTTTCTCATTTAAAAAAAAGCACATACAAGTGGAATTGCACATTTAGCTTATAGGCTTATAAATTCAATCGTGCATGAAAGAAATTAATAGTTGTGGCCCTCAAAACAACTAAATCTAAATATTTTGATGTGCTAAAACAACTGGACTTAATGTAGATTCCTTGATTTTTACTAAATTAAAACCGTCTCGTCTTTGTATTGTTATCAACTGTGTCGTTTCAGACATAAAAACGTGGCCATTATGGTGATAAATGCTAATTAATAAGCATCTTCACAGATGGACTAAAGGCTAAAATGATAGTTGAGCAACACCCTGGAGAAATTGAAAGAATAAAAGATAACATTTCATTTGAAAGAAAATGTATCGTAGCTTAAACTGGACTGATTTCACTTACTACTGTGTATACCTCATGACCAAAGTGCTGTTTACACATTTGACTGTTGCTGTGTAAGCAGCTCTGATGTAACGCCGCTGACACCGTGCAAAGCCAAATGAAGGACGTTTATATTTTCTTTAACACACCTTATATTTGTCAGATTGAAACCTGTGGAGCAGCTCTCTCCAACGCCGACTCCGAGCGACTGTGAAACAAAGTTTGAGAGGAAGAAAGTCCAGTACACTCACGTACGGACACGTCTAATCTAATCCAACACATTTTACACCGTTTCTTTTGTGCAGTTTGTTTGTTGACAAAAAATGTCTGTTTTCAGTTATCGAAGACAAACGCCCAGTTTCACAAGTTATTCAAGGAGGTCAGAAAAGATGAGCTCCTCCAACAAAGTAAGTTTTTAGATTCTCTTCTCGCATGAAGAAGCAAAGGAATGACACTAATATCTGTCTGTGTGTCAACAGGCTACACTTGTGCCCTGCTGAGAGACATTTTATATCAGGGGAAAATGTACATGTCTGATAACTGGATCTGTTTCCACTCCAAAGTCTTTGGGAGAGACACTCAGGTATGACACGGTCACTGTGATATAGTTCACGTTTTATGGGTGAACTACCTGGTAAGTCATGGTGGCGTTTTTCTTTTACAGATTTCAATCCCAGCGGAGTCTGTGACGTTCATCAAAAAAACAAAAACTGCGTTATTAGTGCCAAACGCCCTCGTGATTGAAACAACAAGTGATCAGGTAAGAAGATGGTTGACACAAATATACGTAAACATAAAAAAGTGATTCTAATTAAGAAATCATGTTTTTCCAGCATGTGTTTGTTTCCTTCCTCGCTCGAAACTCCACCTACAAACTCCTGAACTCCATCTGCGGTCATCTGGAGGTAAGTGACATCTCATGTGTCCCCATAGAATTCAATGGTTTCTGTTTTGGGATTTTTCATTATTTATTATTGTGGCGTAAACAAGATGAGAGAAACGATCGGTCAGATGGTTGATTAACCCAATACAAGCCCAAATATTAAACATTTGCATGCTCCAGCGTCCCAAATTTCTCTGTTTCATATCACAGTAAATTGAATATTTTAGTATTTTGGACTGTCGGCTGCCCAAAAATGCAGTTTGAAGACGTCACCTTGGTCTCTAGGAAATGTTTATGGGCTCTTTTGCACTATTTTATGATATTTTACAGTCTAAAAACAATAACACGCTGACATTTAAGGAATATTTTGACATTTTTGGAAATACAGTAATAATCCATTTTATTTATAGAGCGCTTTACAAGATACTCAAAGACACTTTGCAAACATTAAAATCATCATAAAAAGCTATACACTAAAAACATAGAACACACAACATTGGTCACACATTAAAAGCAGTTCTGAAAAGGAGGGTTTCGTTTTTGTGATTTGAATATGGAAAGGTCAGTGCAGTCTCGGATGTGTTTGGGGAGAGAGTTCCAGAGGGAGGGGGCAGCTATGGAGAAGGCTCTGTCGCCCCAAGTCCGGTGCTTGGTCCTGAGTGGAAGGGAGAGGAGGTTAGCATCAGAGGAGCGGAGCCGACGGGATGGAGTGCGGTGGTGAAGCAGGTCGGTGAGGTAAGAGGGGGGGGGTTGTGGGACGGGGAGCCAGTGGAGGTTTTGGAGAACAGGGGTGATGTGGTCACGGGAGCAGGTCAGCAGCAGAGTTCTGGATGTACTGGAGTTTATTTAGGATTTTGTGCCATGAAGAATGCTGTTGCAGTAGTCGATTCTGGAGGTGAGGGAGGCTTTGGTCAAAGTTTTAGCTGCGGATAAGGAGAGCGATGGGCGGAGACAGGCTATGTTTTTCAAGTGGAAAAAGGCAGTTCTGGTGAACGTGGTGTTCAAAGGAGAGGTTGCTGTCAAACATGATTTGGTTGCGGATGCGTGGGGAGGGAGACAGTGTGGAGTTGTCGATGGTGAGGCAGACGTTGTGACTGGTTTTAGTGAGGGATGTGGGACCGATGATGATCATGTCAGATTGATCACAGTTGAGTTTGAGGAGGTTGGTTTGCATCCATGATTTAATGTCAGTGAGGCAGTTGGTCAGAGTGGAGTGAGTAGCAGTGGTAATGGCTTGTATGTTTTCATGCGTTTGATACAAATTGACACAACATACTTTTTGATAAAATTGATTTACTGCCAGCAGCTGGCTAGCTTAGCTTAGCATAAAGACTGGAAACAGGGGGAAACAACTAGCCTGTTATACCCTGTTAAAGAAAAATAAACTTTGAAACTTAAAATTGGCTCGGCAGCAAACGGCAGACAGACACAGTTAGCGACTAGCTGGTGAACACAGTGAAGCGATTAGCAGCTAAAGAGATATTTCCCTCAGGAGGTGGTAGAGACCAAAAACGGAGCTAAAAGACCAACATTCAGTAGTAGTAGTTTTTATAGCTTGTTCTGCTGCTGCAAGATGGCAAAACAGCTGTATTACTGCTTTCTTTTTACATACTAATGTGTGTCCTCTGTCCTTCCAGGTGGCTAAGACTTGTAGCAGCAACGTTATTTCCTCCTGTGAAAACAGCTTCAGGGTGAAATGCCCAACGTCCCTTCCTTTGGTGAGTCGGGAGGAAAAATCGACAGAAACACCTTGTTCTCATGTTCTGCAATACCTTCTCTGTATGTGGTACCCATTGTATATTGTTTTCTTCCTGTATGTGCACTGCAGGACTTATCCGCAGACTTCTCCGACCTCGATGGAGTTGTGCAGCAAAGACGTCAGGAGATGATGGAGAGCAGCAGCTCCGGCTCTCAAACTCCAGATTACGACAAAATAACCGGTTTGTGTGCTCCATCCTCATCCCTCTATGTGTACTTTTACCCTTTAAAAAGCTACTGTGCACTTACTTTAATCTGCTGTAGTCACTTTGGTTGTGTTGTTGTTTTACCTCTCTTCAAATGTGCTCAGGGTGTCAGGTGTCACTGTGGCTCAGATGGTCTTTAGTTTGCAAATAGCTGGAGGGAAGCCAAGTGGAATTTGAGCCATGGAGGCTTTTATTTGTTATAGCAAAGACAGTTGGCATGAAAAAAGTGATGATCCTATCGAATGATGAATAAAATCTTAAGCTCTTGTTGTCAGCTTCCACGTGAACATGAAGCACTCGTTGTGTGTCTGTGCAGACGTTTGGTGAGTCTATTAATAATATTTGCTCAGGCAGCCGGAGTCACGAGTTCTTGTCTGTGTATTTGAGCAGACTTCGCCGGCCTCCCGGACACGTTTCTAAGTGCAGTGAAGAGCGCAGAGGTTTCAGTCCACGCAGACGTTCATCTTCAGACTCCGAGCCAAAAACACGGAGCTGCCCTGAACAACGGTAGCTTGATACAAGTTATCTTTGTGTTAAAAGAAGCTTTGTTAGCCCGTTTGGGTTTCGGTGATTCCCAGAAGAAATACAGATTAGCAATATCAGTTATAAACCAAGTAATCGATGTATATGTAAAGGAATAGTTTAGCAAATACTCTTATTTTATTTCCTGCTGAGTGTTGGATGAGAAGATTGATGCCACTCTCATGTATGTACAGTAAAAACTAAGCTGCAGCTGGTTAGCTTAGCATAAAGACTGGAAACAGGAGGAAACGGCTAGCCTGAATCTGTCCAAAGGTATATCAGGTGTCATTACACCGTCACAAACAGGATAACGTGTTCATTCGTGAGATTTAGACAGAGCCAGGCTAGCTGTTTCCCCTCGTTTCCAGTCTTTATGCTAAGCTACGCTAACTGTCTCTTGGCGTTTCATTATTTACCGTTCAGACATGAGATCAATCTTTTCCTATAATGCATTAAGTATATTTCCTAAAAAGGTCAAAATATTCCTTTAATGTGGCACCTCATTTATTTATTTATTTACAAATGAATATTTCTTTCTTTTTGCTTTTCCTCGTAGGGTCTACGAAGCTCAAAGACAAATCCTCACAGCCCGTCTCCTTACAAGCCATCCTCCTCATCTATTTGTTTCTGTGAGTAACCTTTCATCACCGGGAATACCAGACTCTGACAAGACAATCGTTATTTGGGCGTGTCGGCAGTTGTCTGAACGTGTTTTCGCGCCTCTCTTCACAGAGTTAGCGTTCTCGTCTTGTCCTCCTGTTACATGGCCTTCAAGATCGTGGCTCTTGAGCATCGGTTGAACTCCTTGGTGTCCATCGGGCAACACATTCGTAATGAGTAAGAGCCAGATTCTCATGTTACCGACGTCATATTGGTGTCAGAGTCACCAAGATGAACAAATGCACTCGTGCTATTTATATTTCTTTTCTCATATTTGTTTGGTTAACGATGTTAAAGTGCAAATGTTGGTTGTTGCAGAAACGCGGTGAGCCACAGGCCTCAGGAAGAAGTGAATGCTGAGATTTATGCAGAGCTGTCTTCCAACTTGTTCAAGCTAGAAAAGGTTTGTCCAGTTTTCATGCACATGCACAGCAAATATGGTCACCGAAGAGTCTCTAAGGTTATGTCTAATAGTTTAAAGAAATACCTAAACCCACAAAATGACTATTTGCTTATCAATAACTCACCCCGTGTTACTTTGAATTCCTGATGAATGCTCGATATTTAAAACACGCGCAGGCAAAAATGTTTTTAAATCGTGAGGTTTCAGCTGAGACGACTGTGTTTGTGAAGTTGTAAACATGCGACTGGATGGATGAGACTTGCATTATAGTGCACTAATTGTGTGAGAGAGTTTGTCAATGTTTTGATAAAGTTTTGCTTTAGTCAAGGCAACATTTGATGAGTAATTAATAAACAAAGTATCATTGTGTGGGTGAAGTATTTCTTTTAATGTTTCATGTATCAAAATGTTGAGAATTGATTTGCACACATGAAAATTTAAAAGATCTTGTCTCCAAAATGGATACGGTTAGCTTAGCATAATCCCGGGTTGCATTTAAGGGTTGAACAGACGAGATATAACATGTTCATTTGTGAGCTTTAGAGGTGCAAGTATGCAGTCACCCCCCGGCTAGCTGTTTCCCCCTGTTTCCAGTCGTTGTGCTAAGCTAAGCTAACCATGTGCTGGCTGCAGCTTCATATTTAATACACGGATATGGGAGTGGTGTTGAACTCTCGGCAAGAAAGCAAATGAGTTTCCCAAAACGTTGAACCTTCCTTTGAAAACTTCTATGGGGGTATCTGCAGTAGTTCACTGTTAGCATGATGAATATTTGATCATTTCTATCCGAGCATGTTTTCAGATGTCCTTCTTATTTCTAAATCCTAGATTCAAAGAAGCCTTCGGAAGCTACTTGAAGAGACTTGAAAGAAGACTTTTGTCCGTCTGGACAGAAGCGTTTCTTTTTTTATTAGAGATGTCGGTTTATCACTGAAGATCAGCAGAGATCACGTTTGGTAATAGATTTGTTTCCGGACGGCTGATACACAAAGCTTTCCTAAAACAGATTGAACTTTAACTTAAATTGTGCAATAATAGCTTCTTTCCTCGTTCCACTCAGGGCTATTTCATTACTTTTTTCCAAACACAACGTAGAGGGTGAACTGAGGCAGCGTGATGATGAAGAGAACGTTTAGGCATCTATGCAGTATTTATCTGGGAGCTTTTATTTTGTATTTCACAATACTGGGATTATTTTTTAAGGTCCAAAGGTCATATTGCAATGTTTTCCAAACATTTCTTAAAAGGTCAAATACATTATATTTATGTCTTGTGTAAAAATAACTCTGATATGGATGCTAGGAGAATATCTTTTAATGACATTTAAAGGCAACTTCTTGTTACAGTGTGTTGTATGAGAAGGTAGAAAATGACCTGCTTATGTGAGTAGAAGTTTGCTAGGTGAAGCGTTTGATAGTTTGTTTTAATTGTAAATGTTTTTTAACCATGTACATTATAGTTTTATTTAGGCGCTTCTCAGCTGGTCATAGTTTTAAAAAGTTTGTCCTGTACTTTTCCACAGAAACTTGTATCTGAAGAGCTGTCAATCATTTCAGGAGCAATAGAAGAGAAAGAGCTTGTGCTTTAAACGGTGGTGGTTTGTTTACATTCAGACCACAGACTGTACCTTTTAACTATTGTTTGTATCGCAGTCTTGAAATAAATGTCTTGGATACAGTTTCTGTTGGTCTGAATTTGTATTTGTTCTGAGAGCAGAGAGTTTGTCAGCAGGTCTGAACACGCAGTCGGGTCACGAAGATCCTAAACAAATGAATGCAAACAAGTCTAAAGTAATCTAATCACAAGTACTGATGCCAGTTGGCAGTGCTGGAAGAAGTACTCAGTGTACTGAAGTAAAAGCAGCAATACTACAACAATAAAAAAGAGCCCTGCGTCTAAAGTATCACTTCAGTAAAGTTATTTTGTATTAATAAATGTCTCTCTCTCTCTCTCTCTCTCTCTCTCTCTCTATATATATATATATATATATATATATATATATATATATATATATATATGCTGCAGAAAATAGATAAAGAATGTGTGTTTCATTAAACAGTTGCAAAAAGCAGGAACATGCATTTATAAAGTAAGTGTTATCTGGATGTTTATTTCACAACAAAGCGAACCCGCCCACTCGTGGGCTTTTGAACCAATGGCACGCGCGCCTCCACATCTCGTCTGCCTATCAACCCGCGTTCGGCCCACCGCATGACGTAAGCGGCAGCCTGAAAGTGCAATGGCGATATTGGACAATAACAGCCATCGCTTTCGGGGGAGCACGTCTATATTATGTGGCTAACGTTGAAGAAAACACCTCCAGTCGGCTGCAAAACCACATGCGATATCTGCACGCTGCGCGAGCGACTACCTGCGACCGGGAAAGGTGATTCCACAGCCTCTGCACGCGATGACAGTTTAGACTAAAAAAAAGAAAAAAACAGACGCTGGTAAGTGCAAACTCTAGTGATTGCAACATTTGCAACTAAGCTTCTTTTTCTTCTCCTTCCTTCCAGTTGGTACATGGTGTCTCTCAGGCTGCAAGCTTCAGATTTGAAAGGGGCGTGGTGGCGCGCGCTGGGTACCACTTCTGACTAAAAGGATGCTGATAGCTTAGCAACAGCGACAGGGAAGGCGGAAAGGAAGCGGAGGAGAGACAATGGATGTGCGATTTGTCAGCCCCGTTACTGGGTAGGCTGAGCAGAGTATTTGTTGTGAACGCAAAGAGAGGCAGCAGCGTCAGTTTATGGGGCCAAGTGAACCACAAGAAGGAGCCAGGGATGCATACTCGAAATGTAAACAAAGGGTGTGGGCCTTCCAGCTGGCCTGTGATGGGGGGGGGGGGGGGGGGGGGCATGATGGTTATTAAGGCAGGATCATGTTTCACACGAGTGTTTTTAAAGGCTGTCAGTGCTAAAAACAGGAAATGCATGTCCCTAACTGTTGCATCAAGATGAAGTCTCCCCTCCATGTCTTTCCCCCCTCTTTTACCTCCAGGTGTGACGTGTGAACAGACACCATGGCCACGCAGGAGCCGTCCCCTCCCTCGTCCATGGAGAGCAACAAACCCGGCTTCCCCAAGAAGATCCTGGGCAACCAGCTGGAGGACAAGCACCTGTGCAACTGCTGCCACAACATCCTCCGACGGCCGTTTCAGGCGCAGTGTGGACATCGCTTCTGTTCCTACTGCTTCAACAGGACTGTGAGGTGAGGAGGTAAAACTGTGTACCGTGTGTGTGTACCGTGTGTGTGTACTGTGTGTGTGTGTGTGTGTGTGTCAAAATACAGAAGAATACGGTAAAATTAACTAAAGTAAAAGTACTCGTTATGCAGAATGACCCATTTCAGAATGATCCAGTATATATGATATTATATGTTCATCACTTTAATGTTGCAGCTACCTCAAAATTGTACTTAAGGAAAGTACTTAAGTACATTTACTCTCCACCACTGTGTATGTGCTTTTTGCATATTTTGGATTTGCAGTACATCAGAGTATACTGTTGTTTTATTGCAGTAATGGACCTCAGAAATGCAGCGCCTGCATTAAAGAGGATATTTTTGAGGATCCTACATCGATTTTGAAACAAGGATGTGTGAGTAAAAATACATTTTTATCCAGTTCAGAATTTAAGTAAATGTCTGCATCTGATTTATGCACAGAATTTGTACCACGGCAGCTCCAATAGTATTACATTTTAAAAGTAGTGACCAACAGTCCAAGAATACATGCATGTGAATAATACTTATAAGTTTTTCTAAATAGTATCATTCAGAAAGAAAGTAAAACAAGGAATAAAATAGACAACATGCATTAATGTGTTTACAATGTACTGTATGTCTGTATAATAGTACACTAACCAGTAGTAACAAATGTCTTCAGGGTCTAAATACAGCAGTTTAAATGAAGACTTTATCGGTCTCTGTTTCACTTTGATGTCTTTAAATAGAATAAAAGACGAAGATGTGCTGTGAAAAGATGATCCATTGCTTGTAGCCACAGAGTAACAGTAGAAGTACCAATACAACACTGTAAAAATACTCCACAACGAGTAAAGTCCCTTCATCAGAATACCACATAAGTCCTGAAGTATTATCAAAAGTAAAAGTACACACTGGTGGCCTCTGAGTATAGTTCTTGATACTTGAGACAACCTCATCACAATATACGTGCGTCTATTTATCTTTTTTTTAACTTTCTGAGCAAACTGTTTCAGGTACAAAGGAGCCAAATTACAGGGATGATGAATTAAAAATGTTAATTTGTTGTCCGATCGTTGTAATAATGGACGAGAATGAAACCGGCTCACCGACCTGTTTTGTAGCTTTGAAGTCTTGTTCCTGCCTCCTAAAAACACACGTTAACTTCCATGTTTTGATTAAAAATACTCACCTGAACATGAATAATCTGTAAAAAGGAACAGGGCCGCTGGAGAAACTGTGTTTTTGTTTTCTCTTGTTTTTTCAGGCTTTTCCTGACAACGCAGTGCGACGGGAAGTGGAAAACCTTTCAGCTGTTTGTATCAATGAAAGTTGCAGTTGGAAGGGCAGCATTAAAGACTACGAGGTGACCTTTGACCTTTGATCATTTCTTTGATGTTTAGGTTTTTCCCCAATGTCTATGAAGTCATTTTCATTCATATATACTTATATATACATATTATACTTCATACTCCTGCACAACACTACTAAACTTCACAGCTCTTTCATTTTAAAAACGGATAAATTGTTCATGTTATTTCTTTCATATTGTTTATAGTTCTTTGTCTCTTTCAGTACTTTTACTGCTTCTATTTATATTTCCTCTCACTGTTTATTGTAAAGCACCAAAACACCACAGAAAAGTCCTTAAAAGTTAAAACCTACTTGGCAATAAACCGGATTCTGTTTCTATAAAACAGCGAAGGCGCGACAGAAGTTTCCGTACTGTTCCGCTCTACTTCTTTATTTATTCATTTGTATTATTTTTTTTACAGCTGAACCACGAGGGGAAGTGTGAGTTCATGATCATCCCCTGCCCCTCCTGTAAAGAACGAATTCGCTTCAATGAACAGGAGCGCCACAACGAGCGAGAGTGCCCAGAGAGGACGCTCAACTGCAAGTACTGCAAGGAGCCGTTTCACTTCAAAAACATCAAGGTCAGCAATGATTTATTTAAAGTCAGCGGAGACGCTCGGCTCGTCACTGCTGCTCTTCATACGTCTCGAAAAGCAACGCTGTTGTTGTTTTTTTAAAATTTCAGGCACATGATGAGATCTGTCCCAAGTACCCGATGATCTGTGAAGGCTGTGCCAAGAAGAAAATCCCCAGAGAAAAGGTGAATCTGTAAAACAACACGCAGACAACATGGAAACATTTAGCTGTAGAAGGATTGGATAACGATTTAGTATTTCTGGAATATTTTCTCATCCAGACGGTTAGACGAGTCTTAAAGGAATCTTTGAATATCTCCTAAACAGCTATAAATGTTGTTAATTGAACTTCTGGGCTCCTTTGCTAGGTTTGCAAATAACACTTAATTGCTTTCTTTATTGTGTATTTTTCAGTATGTGGACCATATTAAGTTCTGCAGCAAATTCAGAACTCCGTGTCGATTTCATGTCGTGGGATGTGACATGTCTGTAAGTAGCCTGATTGTCCTCTCTATGATATTTTATTCTTTAAGTTAAGAGACGGTTCCAAAGAATCTATCCGACGGATCAGACTGCATGCATGTGTTGTTCCTGTTTTATTTACCTCCTGTCTTTTCCTTTTTCTGTAGGTGGAAAAGGAAAAGATTCATGACCACGAGCGCGCCTTTGCCTACGAGCACCTCAATCTGTTGCTGCACTACATTATGGGCATGAAAGTGAGCATGGAGGGCCTGCAGCCCCAGGGACTGGAACTAGCCGGACACAAACTGGTGGAACTCCAACAGTCCCTCAGGGAGCTCGAGGCCAGAGTCTCCCAGCTTAGCACCACCTCCTCTGGGCCTCCCGTGCAGGGAGCCGCCGCCGCCGCCGCCTCCTCATCCTCCAGCTCCGGTCCCCCTGGTCTGACCGCTTCAGCTCACCTCCCTCCGCCGCCCACTCTGGCTCCCACTCTGTCCGTGTCCACCTCCTTCACGCCTCTGCCCAGCTCGGTGGGCGCGGCGCTGGAGCTCCAGCTCCACAGCGAGAAGACCAAAGTGGTGGAGCTGGGTCGCAGGTGCACGGAGCTCGAGGTCAAATCCGGCACGTTTGAGAATGTGGTGTGTGTCCTGAACAGAGAGGTGGAGAGGTTCGCCACCACCATGGAGGCCAGCAACCGCCAGCACAAACTGGACCAGGACAAGATCGAGGCTCTGAGCAACAAGGTCAGACTGGAACTGTGCCCAGTGTGGCTGCAGTTTGTGCCTAAAATCACGTCTCCTGGGAGTCATAACTCAGCGAAATCTGAACACACGGACATGATACACATATTTTTAGATCAAGTGTGACGTACACTTGAGGATGTGTCATTATGTCTGATGTCCATCACAAATAAACATCCATAAATCCGCTTAGAACCATAGAAAAAAAGACGCTTCTTATAATTGCAGAAGTTGCCTGAGAAACATGAGTACATTGTAAACAGGAACTGCTAACAGCTAACTGGGCTAAAAACGCAGGATTCAAGTTGTAGCCCACAGCATTACTCACTGAACCCATACTGACGTTATGCTTCCTGTTTACATCCACCAAAGCATTATGGGAACTGTAGTTCCATAACTTAGAGCATGATAATCCCCCAAATAGGAGCTACACAAAGTATCATAATAGAAGCGACAAAATCCTTAAATATTCACTTTTTTTTGTGAGGCTTTATCGATATATGTATTTGTGTTCGTTGTCCAGGTGCGACAGCTGGAGAGGACGGTGGGGCTGAAGGACCTGACGGTCGCTGAGATGGAGGGCCGGCTGAGGGAAATGTCTGCCACGACCTTTGACGGCGTCTTTGTCTGGAGGATCTCCGATTTTGCCAAAAAGAGACAGGATGCAATCGCAGGTCGAGCCCCTGCCATGTTCTCACCAGGTAACATCCGTCAATGTTTTTTTTCCACCGGCAATGATTATGACGCACCAGCTAACAGCAGGTACGAGCAGATCCACTCTGGTGTTACACATATACTCAAAACATGAGGCCATACAAAGGGGCCCTGCCCCATTAGACTGCAGATATTGTGCGTTCTTATTATCAAATGTGGTCAGAGACGAAGCATGGCGTACGTCTCACGTTTAGACCGTCTGTTACAGAAGCTTTATTATCTGCAAATGACTAAAGCTGAATTCCCGCCCCGACTTCCTTCCCTCTCTTCCCTCCAGCCTTCTACACCAGTAAGTATGGCTACAAGATGTGTCTGCGGATCTACCTGAACGGAGACGGGACGGGGCGCGGCAGCCACTTGTCCCTGTTCTTTGTGGTGATGAGGGGACTGAGTGATGCTCTGCTCAAATGGCCTTTCAACCAGAAGGTAACACATCTGCAGATCTAAAGGGGCGTTTATTTACCAAGAGTTTGACAAACAAAGATGCTGAAAATTGCGTGTTTGTGTCTCATGCAGTTTGTATGTTGAGGAGGCAAATTAAAGATGCATTATTAAGTTACTAAACAGAGCTCTCTGCTCAGAACCGCCACAAAAAAACGACTCTTTTTCATCACAAAATAAACAAGTTGCATTTTTTTTCATGCAGAGGGAAAGTCGCTCTGGAGTCGGCCTTAATAAAAATCTTAATGAGTAGATGAGCGCTGATCGAATAACGTCTCTCGTGGGTCTTTCTTCTTCTTCTTCTTCTTCTTCTTCTTGTTCTTCTTCTTCTTCCAGGTGACTCTGATGCTGCTGGACCAGAGCAACAGGGAGCACATCATCGACGCCTTTCGACCCGACGTCACTTCCTCCTCCTTCCAGCGGCCTGTGAGCGAGATGAACATTGCCAGCGGCTGTCCGCTCTTCTGCCCGCTCTCCAAGCTCGACGCCAAGAACTCGTACATCCGTGACGACACCATCTTCATCAAGGCCATCGTGGACCTCACCGGCCTCTAGACCCCCCCCCCATACCTGCGGTTTGGCATCCAGGCAGCTCTTTGACCATTAAAAGCTTCATTTGGGCTCAATGGTGGTCCCTTTAGGGCTCTGTTCAGGCCTCTCACTGTCCCCCCTTGCAGTGTGGCTGCAGACTGCTCCGTCCGCGACGGCGCTGACATCGTCATATCCAGGTGGTCTCTATGTGAGGACCACCGTCCATTGCCGTACATTTCGGGGTGCGAAAAGCCTTTTTTTGGGGGGTAAAATGTCACTTCAGGCGTGCACATAACGTTTTCAGTTTTAAAAAAAGGACACATGAGCACCGGTGCAGTGAGGTCAGCGCAGTGTTGAGTAGGAGCAGAGATGATGAAGAAGAGTGCAAGAAAGAGTGCAAAAAGAGTGAGTAAGCATCTTACTTTAAGCCCCTACAGTGGAAGGCATGCGCGCTAGAACAGGGTTGTAGATTACAGGCAGCTGGCGTGATCATTCTGATGACTTCTCGTAGAGTTAGAGCATGGCTTGACTGCAACTTTTTTTCTTTCTTGCAGATTGTGGATATTGTGAGCTTCTCAATTCCAGTGTCGAGTGAATTTGCATAGACAAACGTGGAGTTATGTTATGAATAAGATTACAGGCATTTATTTTGCCTTTTTTTAAATTTTAATTAAAACTTTTTGGCATGCCGCTGGCGTTTTAAGTATAAAATGACTCCTTATTTCTCTCACTGAGCTTTACGAAAAAGCTTCCTCGTTTGTTGTTGAACTCGTTAGTGAATTAGCCATCCGTGATGGTGGACATTGCCTGCACGTCTTTGGAGCCAGGCTACTTTAACATGTAAAGTTAGTGTTATTTGTTCCTATTAGGGGTTTGTTGGTGGTTCTGATTGGTGGTTTGGTACATCTGTGGAAGATACAGTGGAGTTACCAAGGAGTCAGGGCAGCTTGCCGGTCAAGCCTGAGGCATTAAACTCTGACACAACATCAAACATAGCTGGAGTTTCCCCCCCCCCACCCAGGATATGCTCACTAGCTCACATCTCAACACATAGTACTGTGCCCCCACCACAGACTCGAGGTCAACACAGGTTTCCGCGAAATGAAGGAATTGTCCGTTCCTTGTTTTCTGTCCATACAAGTATACAAAGTGTGTGTTTCTGCTGCTCTTAAGATAGAATCTATAATATATATATATATATATATATATATATGTCGGTGCAAATATACATGAGGTAAATGTGTGCGGAGGCTGAGAAGCGACGTGAGAAACGAGAGATTGTAACACTTTTGTCGTTGGGTGAACGGGGCGCCGTTATTGACGTTACTTATTGCAGATGTTCAGCGCAGCCTCTCCAGATAACTCTTCAGTGTTCTTAAATGTGCTCTCGCTGCACAATGATCCACATTATAACGTGTAATTCTTCTATGTGTCCACCAGAGGTTGCTGTTCTGCTCACTTAGCATGCATGCTGAGGTTGTTGAGGTTTCACGCTGGCCTGTTTGAAAACCAGTCTCGACCTGTATTGGAACCTCTCTGTGCATGGGAGGCTTCAATCCATTATTCACTATGGAGTCTTTCGCATTCGGGTTTACCCCCGTGGGCCGCCGCGTGTGTGAAAGCGTTTATTTGTGAGTTGTTTGGATGAAAACAATAATCATAGAATAGTTATTATGTTATATCTGGCGCTGCGTGTGTTCAACAGTAGCAGCCGCCTATATTCATAGCAATTTATAAATACGTACCTTTCATATAATGTTGAAATAATCTATATATCAATGTTAATATACACGAGATGTTATAATAAACATAGTATTACTGAATACCTTATTAATTCTATATCTATATACCAGCTTTTTGTTTGTCAAGATGGTTTGAACAGGCCAGGACCCCCCCCTTGTGCAGTAAGGACTTATGATTCCTTCTAGAGTGCAATATATATATACGATTATGTCTGTGATATTTTGATGACACTTTGGCTTTAAGGGTTTACAGAAGTCGTACTCGACTCATTTGTTCACATCGCTCATTGTGACGCCGAAGAACTGCAACCGCTTTTTAAGACACGCCGCTTTTTCCTCGTCATCGAGCGTAGTTTTTATTCATGAAGTGAGGCTTTAGAGAGACGTTTTTTAATGTTGAGGACTTCGTGCTATAAGTGAGGTTTCTATTATTAACTTTAAAATAAAAAAACAACGTTTCAGTGAAGACTGAGCATGTAATGAGGAGGATGAACATGACATTTTTTAAGTGGTCTTGTATCGTGCCAAAATCAAATATTACCTCCGTATACTAATGATGTTGTATTTGCAAGTTATATTTTATGTTCTATGCTAAAATATGGTGCCAAATATGTTTATATTTGAATTTGTGCTGCGTGTGTGTGTGTGTGTGTGTGTGCCATTTTAATAGGATGCATGGGTCACCCCTTCTCTAAGAATATGAATATTCCCCCATGAATACAGAAACCCTCCCCAGGTTTTGCTTTTGAATGTAAGATGTAGATTTATTTTTTTCTAAACGCAAAGCAGCAGTTCTGTAAAAGTGATGCAGTCGACTTGAACCAACTTTATTTGTGCACTTTGTATCGGTTGTTTGTTCAAAACAGGGTATTTCGTTGAGTGATTTATGTACCTTGAAATATATATATGTATATATATATATTTATTCTGACGTTGATAATATTGATGTGTTACGATTACAAAAGGACATGCAGTATGTAATAAAGGTTGCTGGTTTCAGCTTGTTCAGTATTTTCAATTCATTTCTCCGTAGAAAGCTCGACTCAGAAGTAAAAGTACAACAATATAAAATTACTCCAGCATTCAAAATCCTTTTTAGGAGGGGAAAAAAAGAAGTATTATCAGCTAAAAGTACTTGAAGTATCGAAAGTGATGGAGAAAAATAGACCCTGAGACTGATTTATTATTATATGTGACATTAGATTGTTAAAAGTATTTTACTTATTTGAACTACTTTATGTACATTTAGGTGTGTTAGTGGGATTTGGACCCTCCTGAGATAAATTTGAGGGATCGGAAAAAACGTTCTGTCACACAAATGTGTATTCATTTGCAGTTTTGGTGAAATATTGGATACTTTTATCTCTTAATAAAGCACAAGTACTTCAAAATTGTACAGTTACTTCCCATCTTTGCCCACTAGAGGGCACTAAATAAACAGCCTTGTTGCTCTGAATGCAGTCACGCAGTACACTAAAAATAAAAACCAGGGAAACAGGGAACATTGTACTTTTATGTGCAGAGTCATTTAAATTAATCTGCATTTTCAGACAATTACTGGAAGTGGACTTCTTCACAAAGAACAAAGTGAGCAGTTTGGCCCTCAGAACAACGCTGTGCTTTGTTCACAGCCGAGTGGATTTAAAAATAAAGATTAATTTGTGTCCTTTCACTTCCTAAATGCTCAAAAACAGGACACGTATCAAACATGAACAGAACTTTTGGATTAAAAGAGAACTTTAAGTACTTCTGTAATGAGTCTTGGTGAGTCAGTCTGTGCAGAGTAGTGGTCACCTTTAGAGGATGTGGTGGGCGAGGAGGAGACAGTGGTTCACTATAAAGGTTTCCCATGACCTTTATTTTGACAATGAAAGAAAATGAACATATATATGAATGTACATGTGTATGACCACTGTATGTGTCACGTGGGACAATAAAGACTATTTATTAAGTCTATTTTTATTATTAATGCAACATTATCAATAATCCAATAATATAATAATGAACATTCACATTCTGCATAATAAGTACATTCCACCTGTAATGAAGAATTTTATTTTACTTGAGTAAAATACCTCAGCTTTAAAAAATAAATAAAATAAAGATAAAAAATAAAAACCAAGATAAGGATAGAAATACAAATAATTATATTATTCACTCATACTTTTATAAAACTCCTGTGCGGTGCTAGTCTCACTCACACATGACTCCACACTCCACCTGCCGGCTCATAAATCGAGCGCACCCTTCTCAATGGCGCGGCTAATTCAACCCCCGAGCCTTGCTGGACGTTATGCTCACCGGAGGAGCCGTGTAGCTTCCGCTACTTTTAATACACTATTTCATAAAACAGCTCAGCTTGATGCCAACACTTCAGACATCTTTGAAGGACCGTTTTGAAGACGGAAAAACCGCGTTTGTGCACCTTTCGGTGGCTCGGATCGCTGAGATGGAGTCAGTTGCTTCACTTCAACAAGCTAAGTACATTTTTTCTACGGAGGCCGAGAGTGGCCACAGAGTAACCTGTGTTTATATATAAGGCGTCAGATCAGTTCTCCTCTAGAGACTGAAGATGCAACAGAAACCTGCTGCCCTCACACTTTAAACTTTATTTTATCTTCATAGGCAAATTAGTGATGAACCATTAGTTCATTAGTTTGTGTTAGTCAATAAACCATGTCAGTTATATCAAGAATAAAACTGGTATCTTCAGCCCCGTTTATATCATTGTAAGCTGAATATCGTTTGGGTTTTGGACTGTTGGAACAAAACAAGCAATTTGAAGATGTCACATTGGACATTTTTTATATGAAAAATGAAAATAATTGTGTGTTGCAGCCGCTAAACCAAATGTTCAGTTAATTTGAGATTATCAAGTATCTCATATGAGAAAAATTTAAATTCCATGCAAATGCATGGAAATGCAATTTGGCCTTTGCCTTTAACCCATCCTATAAGCATTGATGAGAGTCAGTGTCTCGCTGAAGGACACATCTCTCAAATCAACAGCTTCCAAAATGACCACAAAACTGAATCAGCGCCTCTTTTAAAACGTTATCTCTCCCTGACACAAGTTGTGCCTTTCAACCGTAACGTCCAATCAGAAGACAGTTTTATTCTGGAGGACACGGACAAGCGGAGCGTTCTGTTGTTTAACCTGGAGGACTCGTCGTTGTGCTGACACAGCGGAGCAGCTGTGGGATAAACATCTGCATCCTCTTCTCCAACACTCAAATGTGAAACTACGGCTGAGTGGAAGAGACGACACGCTGCTGCACACGTCGATCTGTTTCCAGCTCCTCTGTTGCCGAGTGAATCTCCACAGAGATGTTCCAGTGTTGTCCTCTCTGTTGGGAGGATGTTGACTGTTGTTTGGCTCAGCCAGTTCCTGTGTGTTATTTTAAATCACTTGCATCCAATGCATGTTTGTCTTTAGTATAACGGGATCATTTACACCTGCATTGATGCACAAGGTGGAGAGATGAGGTAGAAAAGATGTAGTTTCAGCACCTGTTGAGCTGGGACCACGAACACTGAGTGGAAATTCCTCTTCTGTACAAGCAGATGGAAAATGAATGAACTTCTGACTGAGAATGTCCACTTTTCCTTCTGTTTTATTTTGTAAACAAGCAAGTTTTGTGTTTTACGTTCAGCTGCATAAAATGCATATCCATCCCTGATAAAACATTTCCAAACTTAGTATTTTAAATCCAGCATTGTCTAACGTCCATGTTTACTAGCTAACAGTCTTCTTCTTCCTGCCTTTACTGGTGCATGGCTCCTGACAAAACATTGTCAGGAGCCATGTTCTTACCTGTGTCTTCTACATGACAACAAACACAACAAGGACCCACATGTAAAATCAGTAACACTTAAAGTCTGTGATAATTGAATATACATTAAAGAACGCGTCTATGAACACACACTGCTAAATATAATTATTGAGTGTTGGAATATTGAGGGAAATTTTAAAATGCAAGCATTAAAAATATCATAAATAAGTCTTTTATTGATAATTTTAAGCTGAAATTGATACTGGGTTAGGGTTACTTTCTTGCAATGCATCATATTTTATTCATTTTTCATGAGTTTTCTATGTAGAATCTTAATTTGTGAAGTAAATATGAGCATATAAATGTAGAAAAGTACAATGTTTCATCTGAAATGTGGTTGAAGTAGAAGTAAAAAGTGTCATGAAAAGGAAATACCTAAGTTAAGTACAGTCTCTTAAGTTTGTACTTAATTAAAATACTTTAATAAAGGTTTCTAATCTCCGTCCCAAAAACAAAAGTTGTACATTTTTTGCATGAGTTTTGAGACAGAACAGTCGAGACAGACGGCACCTCGCTCAGTTTTGGACCGAAAGCAACAAAACAAGAATGACAAAGCGGTTTTACGTACACAAGCCAGATGTTTGAGAATGACGGAGGCGTGATGTGTTAACGGTTAACACATCACCACTTTTGGATCGCTCTCTTTAAGTCAGACATCACGCTCAGACTAAACAACCAGAGTCCTGAATGTGTTGTTTGGTTTCGTGGAAACATCTCTAACCCATGTGGGGTTATAGATGACCTGATCCAGAGTCTGCACAGAGGTTTTTACTCCATGAAACTTTATTTTGCATGTGTTTATTGTGCATCCATTATCTCTGTAGAGGGTAAAGGTCTAGCTGCTACATGTGAATTTGGCTTGTTCATAGATTTGAAGTGGCATTGTTGGATTTATGACGTCTGCGCTATTAAGTAAGGTAAAGTTTTTTTGGCAAATAAATGCTAAATTGCTCTCTGTGTAATACTTAATAATCTCAAATGAACTGAATATTTGTTTTAGGGGCTGCAACTAACAATTATTTTATTTTTTTCATAATAAAATTGTCCAAAAGATATTCAATTCACAATTATATAGCTGGGCTGAAGCTACCATCTTTTCTTAATATATATAACAGAAATGGTTTATTGATCTAACTAATCGTTAATCACTGATTTGATTAATTTGCAACAATTAAAATCATGTTTTCCTCTGACAAGCCATTGAATTTTGCATCATATCCAAATGGTGCTAAAGATTTAATTGTTTAATCTAATATCACTTACTTTAATATTAGTAAACTGAACAATGCTCAACACAGACAGCACAATTAATTTTGAGTTAAACTGAAATAAATACATTTATTCAAGAGTTAATAAGTGAACACAGGGTATCCACAAAAATAATTATTTTGACAAAGTGTCCCTGTGAGATTTTAATTCCATATTTTGTGTCTTTGTGGCCACAATCTGTTGTTTGCATGTGGAAGTGTATTGACGTTTCCCCTGATGATAAACAGCTTGGTTTATTTGTGTCTCCGTGTGTTTTCCGGTGCTTTTTTTATTTTTGCCACTATTCGTTAACTTCCTAGAGATTCAGCTCAGGCAGGAGTTGCTCAGTCATAGCAACAGCTGAGGTCTGATGATGTCACCATTTTGAAGACGCTGCGTAATGCAACTTTGAACCGGGACGCTCGGCTCATTCCCCAGATATGCGGCTGTTTGAAAGATTGTGGCTGGAGAGTGCCGTTAAAGTTAATGAGGTGCATTCATTTAAAGTGAGGCGCTCTGCAGGAAGGAACAGAGTCCGGTTATTTAGGTGAGGAATGTGGATGAAGTGTTGAGTGTTCGTCCACCTTTTGGTACAAACGGAAATAATGCTTTAGGGCGGGCTACATGGTGATCGACAGTTTGTTACCGCTACCAGAACCGTATACGCATCTCTACCAAGGTGTCACTCCTCCACAGTCCAAATATGGTTATTTCTGTTCACTGGTTGCAAAAAGCCAAGATGGCGGTGGCAGAAATCCAAGATGGCAACCGCCAAAACGCCAAATTGAAGGCTTCAAAACCGCAGTTCACAAACCAATGGGTGACATCGCGACGACTACGTCCACTTCTTACATACGGTCTATGGTTTGTATCATTGTTTGCATGCTAATGCGCAAAACTAAGATGGTGAACATGGTACCT